AAGAGCCGTTAGTGTGACGTCACGGCAGTCTCCCACGTGAACAGGTCCCTCAGGGGCCATCAGGGCCCCCGCGACCCCCGAGCGCTTCCCCTGCGGCACCCACGAGCGCGAGAAGGTGATCTGGGCCAGGCTGGGGCCCACCGCCACGCACACCACCAGCAGCAACACTTGCAGCTTGTGCATCATGACCTCGGATGACCTGAGTGGGACGCTGGAACAGGTGAGGGAGCTGAAGCGGCAGGAACTGTGCTGGAGGCGGCCACTGCGCGCCCTTTATACCGGCCCCGCCGCACGCCCACGCCCACGCCCTTGCGACGCTCGCCGGACGGAAAAGAATCTTATGTTGTCGGAAGGACTGGAAATTAGCTCTAAAATGTTAATCAGCGGGATATGGGAGATAAATATAATGCACACACACACATACGGTAATTTAGGTCACCCCAGTTATGAAGCGGCGGGTGAGCACTAAACCATCAGTACTACACGACCCATTTAAAGGAATGTACTTCTAGGATCTAACAAGCTGCATAGACATTACCCGTCTACTCATACATGAGTAATGATAGCGAGGTTTCGCATACACTCCCCGTGGGTACTCGGTGGAAATTGATTTAGGAATTCGAAACCGAAGTTAGATGCACCGCGGTTCATATGTGAGATACATAAAAGCTTTCCCTGACTAGGACTCGAATGTGTGCATATATCTATCTATCTATCTATCTATATATATACATTATGTTTATAATTATATATATACATTATATATATATATATATATATATATATATATATATATATATGTATATATATACATTATACATATATATATATACATTATACATATATGTATATATATATATATATATATATATATATATATATATATACATTATATATGTATATATTCTTTTCTAACAGCCATTCATTCCACTGCAGGACATAGGCCTCTCTCAATTCACTATTGAGAGATTATATGGCAGTGCCACCGTTACCTGATTGGATGTCCTTAATCAACCGCTATTCGGCGCTAACACCTGTGCCACGGCGATGACTTCCCCTACGACACCTGCGTTTGACTTCTCAAGACGATACATCGTTTTCTCGGGCTCGAACCAGCAGTCAGAGTGCCGCGACGGAGAATTGAACTCGGGAGTCCAGTGCTGTAACTACTGGACCATCGCGGCAGTATATATATATATATGTTTAACCCAATGCCGACGGGAATGACGCGTACGTGTATGCCATGCCCACTGTGAGTTTACTTGTTTGATTGTATTACAAGATATATGGCTACACTTGTACTAAGTCACCAATGAGTCAATTATGAGTACTGCCTGCCTCACCCGTTTACCCTTTTCTTTGATTTACAAAAATATTCTACGTTATCTTATTTTCTTGTTACTAATGTTTATAACATTATAGTAATTATAATGTTTATAATGAAAGTAACACCACCGATATTCATAGCACTAGTAAAAAAATACGTTTTTCCCGCCAATTCAAATCAGGTAAGGTCACACGGTCAGTTAATTGACTCGTTTGTGGCTAAGCACTAGCAGAGCACTAAGCACTGTGCAGACATTTCACAAAAAATATATAAAATGAGTACAGCATTTTCCGCATTTTTTATTCATATTCCCCGGCGGCGATGGAATATATATATACACACTCACACACACACACACACACACACATATATGTGTGTGTGTGTGTATGAATATATATGTACATATATGTATTTATATATACATTCATATATATCATATACGTATATATATGTATATATGTATATGTACATTGTGTGTATATATATACATATATATATACATATATTCACTTATTTACTCATCCATACATTCATTCAGCAATTGGGAAACTTTTTTTTTTCACATCGACTATACTATGACACTATCACTTCCAATGGATTTCTGCAATTTCCGATGCCGTTCTCTTCTCAATAACGCTTGCATTCAACATCAGCATAATTAGCTTTCCAAAAATTTCTCTGCTATCATTATTCATACGTTTTGTAAATCTACAGTGCAGAGAACCATCATAGGAACGACTGAAACAATTAAAAAAGAACAGTCAACCACAACAGACAATTATAACGCGGTTGTGACGTTCGAGCGACGAAATCGATGGCGCTTCGAAATTGTCGGTTGTCAGAGGATGAAAATAATGCTGACAATCGTAACATAAATAACATGAATAATACTAGCCATAATATAATGAAGTGATAATAACTATAACCATAATAATAATAATAATGATAATGGGGATAATGATAATGATGATAATGATAACAATGATGATGATGATGATAACAGTAATAATAATAATAATAATAATAATGACAATGGTAATAGTAATAACTATAATGATGATAATAACGATAGTAATTATAATTATCATAATAGTAATAATAATAATGATGACAATAAATTTTATGTTTATCATATTCTTACTTATAAATTAGATCTAACGTTAATCTTGGCAG